ATGTGATGCTGCAGTTTAGCCTCCCTAAGTACAGCTCTGACCTTGTTAAAATTTCTATGCTTCACTAGATGCTCTGCAGATAAATTGGCATCTGTGGAAATTCATTTTTCGTTGTATAAAATCTAATTCCTTCGTGGTTTCCAATATCTGTAGCCTGATTTAATAACTTCACAAGTAAACTACAATGGCCCATGACCTTACTGGGCTTTCAGCTTTTGGGATCAGGGTTCTTTGGGAATCTTCCATTGATATATGTAGAGTGGGGGCGGGGAATGATATTCTACAAATTTCTGAGAGTTCTTTGCAGGAAACCTGTTGGATGTTTACTATTTGGAGACGTCAAAAAATCCTTTGATTATGTTCAAGTCATCAATTTGTTCTGCAATTATCTTACTGTTCTCAAACCTGAATCAACAACTCCTTCTGAGATTCAGTCATCTGCTTCATCTGTCACTCACGGTATGAGCAGGAGAATGGATTAGATGAGGCACCCCATGTGGAGGCAGCATAAACTTGATGGGATAAATGACCTGTTTCTATGTGATAACATTCTAGGATTTTATGTAAGAGCCTCCCCCAATCTGTGCCTATTGTGCTGCGAGACCTTACCCCGTTTGAAGGGCACTATGCAAATGCAGGTTGTTGTTGTATTGATTTTCATAAGGGAATCCTTCTACTAGTCTATCCAACAGCTAATAGAAACAGCGGGAAAAATAAATAATTTCTGTTTCTATTACCTATCGTGACACAGTCCCAACCCTTTTCAGGCAAGGCTCAAAAAGGCTTGCGAAATCAGACAGGATTTTATTTTTTAGCCCATTGAAGTGTTTGAGTTAACGGTTGTTCTTTATATCCAGAAATATCTACGAATACAAGTCATTACACTTGACAGTGAAGAGCTGACAATCACTTGACAGTGATTATCCATGAAGAGTTTTGAGATGTTTTAACATTTAGGCTGTATACCAGGTGCAAATGCTGTTATTATTGAGCTATGCATTAGCTGTACTGTGTTTAGAAACTTTAGAAGCTGTACTGCGTTTAGAAGCTGGTGGTTTTCAGTCATATGTCTAATACTGTAATAGTTCCACCACAACCTGCTTAACAGTATAAATGCCCAACATCTGGGCAAACTTGCAAAAAAATCTGTCTGTCTCCAAACCCAGTGACTAAAGCTCTTAAACAAAAACAGAAGTCGCTGGGAACACTCAGCAGGTCAGGCAGCATCTATGAAGAAAGGAAAGTGAGTCAACGTTTTGGGTCCACGACCCTTCATCACAACTGGCTAAAGCTCTTGATGTCTGTACAGGGAGTTATGGTTACAGAACCACTCACTGTACAGAGCTTCCCCAGTAGAGAAAATAGTTGTTGTAGAACAGTCATAAACTGCACCCATGCAAGCCAAGACCTCTAATGTACACATAGCTGTTGTTTAAATCCTTTTGCCTCGAGTGGAAATGTTACCAAGTCAGAGTTGGGGAGAGCACTGGTCATGTATCAGAATCTACAATCTGGCCCGCAACAGGCTCCAGAATATAAACATGCTGTTGGGAAATATTTGAAGGATACAAATCTGTGAGTTCTCTCTCTTCTGGTAAACAAAACAAAAATTGAGGAAAGCCAAGTCCTATTACATAGTGGGCCTGACTTGAAAACATGGATCAACATCCAGTCAGAGCAAAATGTTGGACAAGTTTCCTTACTTCACAACCCTCTGTTTACCGAGCAATAAGTAGGAACCCGGTTGTTAGTCGATTGGTGGATCACTTTTCCGGGGGTAATATTCCGTCAAAAAAATAAAAAGTAATAATAAATTGGTCACTTCAATCCACGACTGTTTGTGGGGCACTGCTGTATGCAATTGGCTGCTGCATTTCGTCCACAAAATATACAGTCAATTCACTTTACAGTATATTCTGTGAAACGCTTTGACACGTCTCGAAGACACGATAAGACGCTATATTAAATGCAAGGATTATGACTATTATTATAAGTAAATGGAGTTCAGAGTAATTAACATATGTTGGGTCATGTAAGTAACATGAGTTAACAACTGGGCATGAGCTTGTGACAACGTAATTTGCTTCTAACAATGTGGTCTTCGGTTCATTCAATCCCAATTATTTCAAATACAAAACTGTTTACTGTATTTACTCAATTCTAAGCTGTGTTTCTTTTCAGAACCATTTATCTTCAAAATCAGGTTGTGCCTTGAAACAGTACTTGTTATTATCATCATTATATAATTATTATCATCATTCTTATAATCTATACTGGTAAAGAGTCTGTGTCTCTGTGTTTCTGCTAATAACTCAATAACCGAGACATGATTTATACCTCATCGGAAAGGTGTTGCATGGGGGAATGTGATGGGCATTTTGTTTTTTCAGGGATCTCTGATCATTGATGAGCTATATTTAAAAAATGCTTTAATTAAGCCCCAAAATATGAGGTATGCATGGTATTCTGCAAGAAAGTAGTGACAGAGCAAAGCACACACCCATCTAAAGAAATACATTATACTAATATATTCTGCAATAAATGTATGGCAGTTTTTTTCAGGTTGTCATGGGGGCTATAGTCCTACCAACAGGAGTCCTCCCAATAGCACATTTTCTTAATCTTAAGGGACGATGTCTAAGAAGCACATATCAAGCCTTTCTGGGACAAATACAAATGCAAGACAAAAGAGAGAAGGCCGATTAAACGAAACTGAAGAACGAAGAACAGCACAGCTGGACTTGAATACTGAAACAACTGCAACAACATGGCAAAATGAATTGCCTGCTCAAAGAATAGCGCGGCTAGACTTGAATGTTGAAACAACTACAAGAGCACGGCAAAATGAATTGTCCGCTCAAACAGCCATGTTACATGCTCAAATGTGGGTTCATCGCAAAACCTGTACATCATGCCGAAATGTCCCTGTTTGACATCTCAGAATCCATTCTCCTAAAAGGAACCGCACAATCTTAACTAGAGCATATTTATATACAATTTCATTTTTTGGGGAGCATGAGGGAGAAGGGAATATAGGGGTATGAGAGAGAGGATTAGGGATTAGTAGATAGGGGGATGGAGACTCGTGTGGTGTATAAGCACTGGCATGGACTATTTGGGACAAATGATCTTTTTTTATGGTATACAGTCTATGCCGTTCTGTTTCTGTGCTGTACAGGCTATATAGTTCAGCTTCTGTGCTGTATAATCTATATAGTTCAGTTTCTGTGCTATATAGTTTATGTAATATGGTTTAAAAAAAGAAGACTGCTCAGCTCAATCAGGCTGCTTTGCCAATTTATTAGTTCAGGGCAGCGTTTTGTCAGAATACTGGACTCACTAAATAAATAGCTTGATGCTGTAATGGGAGGACAGTAGGATGTGTATTCTATAAGGATGAGATCAGAAGGCCAGAAGGCTCTTTGGCCCATTTGATCTCTTCTTCCAGAGTAGAGCGATCACAAGAAACTTTCTTGTAATCTCTCTAATCCCCTTTCCCCCACCTTTTCTACTAAGGAACTAAAATAATACAAGAGATAAAAAGAAAATGCCTGCTTTTAATTTCAATTGATTCAGTACAATTTCCCTGTTGTGATTGAGATTGTTTTGTAAAGGGCCTCTCAATCCCCATGAAATACTAAAGCCATTGTACTTGTTGGTAATTTACGGATATATTTATTTCTCCCATAGACTATAAAAATAATGATAATCCTTGCGTTTCATATAGTGCCTTTTCACATTGGGAGGACATCTCAAAACACTTCACAGAATATGCTGGAAAATATAGTGACTGTGTATTTTGTAGGAGAATGTGGCAGCCAATTTGCATACAGTAATGTCCCACAAATAGCCGTGAAGTGAACGACCAATTTTATTTGCGGCAATGGCCTAGGGCACTAGGAGAAATCCCTTCTCTTTTCAAATATTGCCATGGGATCTTTAACTTCAATCTTGAACAGACCATATTCACCAATGTACCGTATTTACTCAATTCTAAGGTGGCCCTGAATAGATTTTAAGATGGCCCAGATAGATTTTAGAGCATTGCGGGAATAAATAACTTTAACTCAATTCTAAGATGCCATCAATTCTAAGGCACAGCCTGATTTTGCAGGTACTTTTTTAATGAAAAAAGCATGCCCTACATTCTAGTAAATATGCTAGTTGTGTATGTGTATGTGATTATTTGGTGAGACAAAAAAGGTCATTTGACAGTAGTAACCCACAAGGTCCTTTATAGTGAAAACACCATAAAAATGCAAGTCCTCTTTTCATATCTTTGTCACCTCACTAAGAATGTAAGTACGAGTCAACTAGAAGATGTCAGACCAATGTTCAGTGAGGATAGGATTACAGGTTGAATCTTTCTAAGTAGCCAGTGAATTAAAAATAAGAGTGGTGAAGGACATATTACATGGGTTTTAAATCAGTGTTACTTTGTAACAAGATGTCAGCCTAACTCAGTTAGCAGCTCTCTCGCCTCTGAGTCAGAAGGTTATGGATTCAATTCCTACATCAGGAGTTGGAATTCGTATGTAGTCTAGGACGAGCTGACACTTCAGTGCAGTGCTGGGAATATACTACATTGTCAGAGATGTTGTCCTTCAAATAAGATGTTAAAACCGAAGCGCCATCTGCCTGCACGTTATAGCACTATTTGAAAAGAAAAGGAAGATTCTTCCAGTGTGCTTGGCAACAAATCTCCCCCAAATAAAATTGGTCACCCACTTCTTGGCTGTTTGTGGAACAAATACATTTTCATGTGTGCAAATTTTACGGTAAATCTTGTGAAGTACTTTGAGACGTACTCCTGATGTGAAAGGCACTATATCAAATGCAAGATATTATTTGGAAATTCATGCTGTTTAGTGGCACATAAAATAGAAAGAGTTTGTCTTCTATAGCATGTAGGACAATATTTATTCCACTTGCTGTATAAATGACTTTGCACTGTTGTGGTTCTAACACTCTGCATTCACCAGTCTATGTTTGGACCATACCTGAATGAAAGGGAACAACAGTCCCACGGCAAAGTTGCAGAGCCAGGACACGGTGCCTCCTATCATGAACGCTGAAGCTCGGCAGGACTGATCGAACAGCTCGCCAGTGAGGATAAAAGGGATCCCACCTGAAATTGAACCAGTGTTACAGTCAGGATTCATGACACAAAGAATGAGTTGGTGGGTGCCAGTGGCTTGTGAGAAGAGTGTATTTAAGAAGCAACTAGAAACAGGTGGGTTAAAGTTCCATTAAGCATTACACATATTGCCTTTGCTGATGTCAGCCACCAATGGGATCTCCCAAAGGTGTTATGTGTGAAACTGAATGGAATTTTTATCCAAGAGAAACTGAAATTGAATCCACGTAAACTTTGTTCAGTGAGCAAAAAATACAACATTCATTACTGCTGATTGTAAAAATACAACTTAATGATTGAGTCACGTTATTACTTTTCAGGCACTGTCCATTATTTGTAGATCCAGCACGACTTTAGTTGCAGCTGCCAATGAAAAATATCTCCCCCCTTAAAAACAGACACCCAAAGTCAAATGCTTTTATCTCAGAATTTTTTTTGGTCAGCCAGATGTCTGCCAATTGCAGAAACCCATCACCATGCCTAAGAGTATCCACCCAAAACTGAGAGTTCCTTTCATTGCCACCCTCACATGGAAATTCCCATATTACAATGGAATGCGCACTCTCTCCCTGGAGGGTCGGATCCTGCTTACCTAATTCTGGAGAGTATTAGGTGCAGGTTAGCGAGAGTCTAGACTTGGGGACCCCAGAGTGTGCGGTGGGGGTACTGCTGGGGTTTAACTGCATTACAATGAAAGCACTGTCAGGCAAGCTTCCCATTGCTTGTTCTGGTTCTCCAATACCAAGTCACATTATTGAACTTGGTGGGGTAACTTCACCAATCATTCCCATAGCGTCTAGGATTGAGCTACTGCATGTATTTGTCTTCACCCACATCAGTAAGAAATGCTTGCCAATGGTATTCAATTCAAATTAACTACTTATTTAAAGATATAAGAAATGGCAAATGAGAAATTTCCATCTATCCATCCAAACATCATCACAATTCAAACTTGTTGGAGACACAGTTTACAGCATAAGGCAGTTTATCTGGCAGCGAGGCACCAATAACACTACTGTTTTCCTGAAGAGCACTTTTCAGTCCCGTTGTCTCTTTGAAGGTCTTTGAAAAGAGACGTCTCAGAGTGGGCATTATTGAGGTATATAAGATTTTAAATGCGATTGAGAAAGCAATATTTTCGGATGTACTGAGACAGCAGAACAAGAGGACATAGGTTTAGGTTTGGAAAGGGCAATTTCAGAACAAACAATTTCAGAATAATCATTGCATTTGATAAATAATAATAATAATCCTTGCATTTGATATAGCGCTTTTCACGTCAGGAGGACGTTCCAAAGCGCTTCACAGAACACACTGTAAAGTGAATTGACTGTATATTTGTGGGCGAACGCGGCAGCCAATTGCGCACAGCAATGTCCCACAAACAGTCGTAGATTAAGAATGACCAATTTATTATTGTTTTCGGTTTTGGAGGGATTATTATTAGATGTGTGGAGTAAGGAAACTTGCCCAAGGTTTTGCCCTGCCTGGAATTGAACTCAGGTCTCTCTCTTGCAAAGCGAGTGCTCTAACCACTGAGCTACAGGACTCCATAAGTACTTATCATGTTGTTGAGACATCTGAAAGCGCTTCAAATGAATTAAAGTGGAGTGACTGCCTATTTGTAGACGCAGGCACCAGTGAGTATCGCTTTACTCAGAGGAAAATGAATGGCTGCAAGAGTTACCAGGGAGGGAGGTTGAGGCCAAGACACTGGAATCATTTACAAAACTGCTTAATACTGTGATAGGAGGCCAGTAGGGTGAGTTTCTAAAAGGATGAGATCAAATCACTGAAGGGCAACTTGTGACCTTGTGTCTTAAACAGTACTTAACGTGTCAAAAATGTGTATTCATTACCTGGATTTAAAACTCCTTTCAGTAACTGGAAATGTGTTACACCGTCTGTGGGAATGCCGCTTTAACACAGTGTTATCAGTAGGATGGCTTGACACACTTACTTCTATTATGAGCAGAACTCACTAATTCAGTCGTCGCAGTTTCAGAATATCTCAGTTTTAACCCTGATCCCAAATGTGCCCACACCAGTGATCTACATAAGGCTAGAATATACTTATGATCCAATATCCTCGAGATCCAACCTAAAATTTGATTAGCGTTTGACATAGATGTGAAACAACAACAACAAAATTACATTTGTGTAGCGTCTTTCACGTCGGGAGGATGTCGCAAGGCGCTGGACAGTCAGAGTTACGGACCCGAGCTGGGGGGCGGGATCAGGGAGGGTGGAGGGCAGGTGTGGGAAGCAGGATGATTGAAAGCACGGTCGTAGAGGAGGGTCATTAGATGGGTCTTGAAGGAATCAAGGGAGGGGATGAAGCTGAGGGACTGTGGGATGCAGTTCCAGAGGGTGGGGGCAGAGTGGCAGAAGGTCCACCCGCCAATAGTGGGGCAAGCAAGGCGGGGGATGTGAAGCAAGCCGGAGACCACTGAGCGGAGGGAGCGAGCAGGATGGTAGGGGGGTTAGGAGGTTGCAGAAGTAGGGGGAAGGGCTTTGAAGGTGTGGACCAGTGTCATGAACTGTATCCTCGGTATGATGGGAAGCCAGTGGAGTTGGGCGAGGATGGGGGAGATAGGGTCACGGAGCCTGGTGCGGGAGGGGACATGGGCTGCAGATTTCTGGATGATCTACAGCCTATGGCAGGAGGAGTTAGGGAGGCCGACAAGCAAGGAATTTGCATAGTCAAGCCTCAGTGTAATGAATGTGTGTATGAGGGTTTCGGCGGACTGCGGTGTGAGACAGTGGCAGAGCCGGGCCATGTTGCCGGGGTGGGGAAAGGCAGAGCAGGTCATGGCACAGATGTGGGGTAGAAAGGATAGTTGAGGGTCAAACAAGACTCCAAGGTTCCGGACTGGCTTAGCAAGGTGGAGTGTGTAACCATGGATGGTGATGCTGTCAGCGCCTGAGGTGTGGAGGTGCTGACGGGAGCCAATCAGAAGAGCCTCGGTCTTGTTGACATTCGACTGAAGAAAGTTGGCTCTCGTCCAGGACTTGGAAGTTGACACATGTCTGCGGACGATGTCACCAAGAGGGAGCATATAGATATTGAAAAGGAGGGGACCAAGGACAGAGCCCGAGAAACGCCGCACGAGATGGTGTGGGGGCTAGAGGAGAAACCGTTTGTAGAGATGAAGTGGAGGCGTTGAGAGAGGTATGATCTGAACCAGTCAAGGACAGAGCTGTGAAGGTTGAGGTGAGAGGAGAGGCAGTGGATGAGGATAGAGCGGTCGACGGTGTTGAAGGCAGCAGAGAGGTCAAGGAGGATGAGGAGACCAGTGGGAGCCCTGGTTGCAGATGGACAGAGTGTCATTTGTCACTTTGACCAGAGCTGTTTCTGTGCTGTGGGCAGCATGTGAAACCTACAGTGAATGATAAACTTTCAAATCTTTTACCATATTGGGTTAAGGCCACCCCTTCATCAGATATTCATGGCTGCTGTTTCATTATGCATTAACTTATACTTATCTAGATGAAAATCCATATATCATTAATCAACAGTATGAAAATCATTTGGACAAGCAACCCACTAATTCCAACCCAGTACAATTCAACTATCTAGATTGGTTCCAGAGAAACCCAATTTGTTTGGATGACTGAGGGACTGCAGACAGATGCTCACAAGACAAATGGGATACGTTGTCCAGGGAGTTCGACCAGTTCAGGCAGTGGAGTCTAACAAGCCATAGCTATCTAAGGTGAACTAGTTATTGTGTGTTTGGAATGGGAAATGTCATCGCAATGGATAGTTCACCATTGATGCCAAACAATACACAATAGACATCAATGTCAATGCTCAGTAAAAATGGATGACAGATCACTCACAAGATGGGATGAACATGTATCCTACCATGTGGCAATAATTATTACATTGTTGGTAAATATGGTCCAAACAAGACGGGATCACACAAACTGGCACTCCAATGGGCATACCAGTGTGACTGAGATGAGGGAATCACATCTATTGGCATTTATCGACTGACTCAACCCTATTTGTTTTGGTCACCAGAAACCCATTGCTCTGCTAAAGCATATCTAAACCACTCTGAGAGTTCCACATAGATATGGCAGCAACACGTAGAAATTTCTGTGTGTTTGGAATAGAATGCATACTCTGTCCTTGAAGGGACACACCCTGCTTACCGGAGAGTATTAGTACTGCTGAGTTTACCAACCAAAAACAAATAGTTTGCCATTGAAAACACTGACCTCAAAATTTTTGCTACTTGTTCAACTAGTACCATCCTAACCAATATGTCTTCGGCTTGCATGGTTAACAGGAGCTGAAAACCTGAAAACCGCTGTTATCACACCCCTCCACATAAAACCCACCCTTGATCCCCCTGATCTCTCATACTACCGTCCCATTTCCAACCTACCCTTCCTTGCTAAAGTCCTGAAACGCATTGTTGCAGGGCAACTTCAGTCACATCTCTCCTTCCACTCCCTCCTCAGGCCCCTGCAGTTTGGTTTTCACCTTTCCCACATCTCAGAGACAGCACTTGTCAAAGTCACAAACGATGTCCTCTATCTGTGACCAGGACTTCCTCTGAAGACATTGGATCTTTCCGTCGAGTTCGACACAGTCGAACGCTCCATTCTCCTCCATCGCCTCTCCTGCCTCATCCATCTTACTAGAACCACACTCGCATGGTTTGAGGCCTACTTAACCAACCACCTCCACTTCATTTTGGCAAATGGTTTCTCCTCCCTCTTGGTAATGTCATCTGCAGACTTCCACATGTATGTGGATGACACATAAATCTACTTTGCCTCCTCCAGCGTCGATTCCAGGTCTGCCGATGTTCGATCAGCTTGTCTGGCAGACACAGGGCCTGGATGAGTGCAACCTTCCTGCAGCTGAATGTGGACAAGACGGAAGCCATACTCCTTGACTCCCATCAACGTCTTCACTCCTGCGGATCTGAACTCCTCAACCTCCCTGGGCTCTCCCTCAGACTCACTGAACCAGT